TTTTAGGAACTAAAAAGGTAGCAAGGACTCCTAAACAAAAATAATAATAATAATAATAATAATAAAATCAAAATAGTGATGCTATAAGGACTTGCTTGATACTTACCAAAGCACTTCTTATATCATTCAACGGAGTCTTTTCAATAGGAATTGAAGTTTCTAGCCCTAGCTCTGCCTCATGACGTTGGATATTACAATCCCCCAAGCCCATTGGGAGAGTTCCTGTTAACTGTTGTTGCTGATCCAGGGGGTTCATGCTATCAAGTTTCAGCATATCCTCAGTAGAGGTTACTTCATTCAGGTTAAGCTCTGCGTTCTGAGCTTGTGAATCACAAAGATGCCTAGCTTCTATTGCTAAGAGATGGCTTTCTCTTTCAGCATACTCAGCAGCAATAGAAATTCTTGGCCCTAGCTCTGCCTCAATATGTTGAATACTAGAATCCAAATTATTAACTCCTGATTGCTGCTGTTGGTTAGCCAGTGGCTTCAGATCATCAAATTTCAGCTCATCTTCAGCAGTGATTTTCTGTTTCAGATTAACCTTTGCTTTCTTTGACCCTGAATCCAAAATATGCTTAGCTTCCACTGTTAGGAGATTTCTTTCTCTTGCAGCGAATTTCGAAGCATTTGCAATATCATTCAACGTAGTCTTATCAACTAACATTGCTTGCCCTAGTTCTTCCTCAATATGTTGGATATTGGAATCCTCAAAATCCACTCCTGTATGCTGTTGCTCAGCCAGCAGCTTCAGATTATCAAACTTTGGCTTATCTTCAGTGGTGATGATTTCCTCTTTCAGATCGACCTCTGCTTTCTTACACTGTGAATTGAAAATATGCTTAGTTTCCTATGCTTTCGAAAGTACAATCCCATATTACAACTAGACTTGTCACTTGTTTATGAACATGCAGTACAGTAGGAGACTTTTGAAATATGATGCTAAAAACTTTGTTATCATCGTCTAATAATAAGAAAATTACAAGAGCAAGGCAGGATTGAAAGATCCCACACTAAAGATACTCCATCTCAATTCATTAGTCATGATGAGGGTTAAATCGACCATAAACTGGAAGCATTGTGAAAGCTCAAGAAACTATGAAAAAGGTACTATACTGCTATCACTGTAAAAAATTGCAGTGTGAACCATAAATTGTGAAAGAATGCAACCAAGAGTTTGGAAGCAAAGCAGAATTTAAATTTTTTTTTTTTTTTAAAAATATTTTTGAATCATGCACCTTAATTTGCAAAAATCACATGCAATGAGAAAACTCTGGAATGTATTTGTCCATGTCTTGTATCTGCAGTGTGGATGCTTGAATGCTTCATATTTTTAGACCCAAAAATTCCAATGCAGAAAGTATAATTGTGGACCACATTAATGAAATGCATAGCAAGACAATTTTGGAACTCACCATCATTGAAGCACTCTCCCTGCCATGTAACAAAGTCATTTCACCCACATCCACTGCTTCAATATCTTTGAAAGTTGTGCCCTTTATTTGAGCACCTGTAGATTCCATATTCGATGGCAAGTGAGTTTTTTGAAGCTCTTTGATATTACCGGTCAAGTCATCATTGATAGAAACATCCTTCTCTTGAAGAGTATCTCCCTTCATATTCAGGGATGACATTTTCCACTCATACTCAAGTTCTTGAACAATCCTCCTGACAAAATAGTAAGAGCCCCCAACTTCATTCTTAGCAATAGAAGGAGTTGGAAATTTTCCTGAGTTCATGGTTCTATACCTACAAATCAACATTGAATAGTTTACTTGTTTCAGTTCCAATCACTATAAGATTCAAGAATTAACTGTTCAATCTTCACACAAAGGTGAAATATGTTAGAACAGTTTGTAACTCAGAAGACCTCATATGTAGTCTAAATGACAGCACGTAAACAAGTAATGAAAGAAGTTTAATATCTAAACTCACAGTTATGTATCTTAGTCATAGAAGATGATACATTCTAGGGACAAGCCTATTCTGAAGAAGTCTTATTTTATTAAAACTACATTACATAGTTCAGATATGTTTAGGTATTTAGAAACTACTAAATAGTTATTTAGTTTTTACTATTGGTAAATTAATTAATTTAGACAGTTTGGTTATTTGAAAACTACCAAATAATTAATCATTCTTAAATTGGGAATCATTGTACTGCCCTATTATAAAAGGGACAATTATTTACAATTTATGGAAAGTAGAATTTTAATCCCAATCTAAGGGACAAGGGCGTTTTGAGTCTCAAGCAAACCCAGCGTTTTCTTTTCCTTTTTTCAACTAATATTCTTCATTCTTTTTCCTTTTCTTTTGCTTGTCGAGCACATAACAGAAGACCAGGAAAAAAAAAAAAAAAAGATTTAGCAATGGACACATTTTTTATTAGCAATGCAGCTAAAAGCTCAAGCAAAAAAAATGTCCTAACATATAAAAATCATTAGCAAATGAACATGGGGAGTAAAACCTGATAATATTTGAGAACTAAAGAAAAGAGGTTAAGAGAATCAAAGCAACCATGGCAAGTTATCACTAAACAAATTAGGTTCATGGTTGAAGATCTGGCTTGGTGCTTGTTCCTATTTGCATTTGGGCCGCGCTCATGTGAACAATAGCAACATCTCATTGGTCTAGTTGGGTATGTGATGACCAGGGATAAACGGCATTATGTTTCTTTTTATGCTTTGCTTTGATACCCCTCTCATCATTCATACCATTATTAAATTATTTTTTACTGCTTACAGAATACCCTTCAAGTACATAACACTTCATCTAAATGAAGAATGAAGCTCCAAAGTAAAATTTAAACCCAGTGTCATGGTCGGACAGAGCTTGGAGTAGGAGTAGAGTCATTGGATTGTAAGCATGAAAAAAAAAAAAAAAAAAAAAAAAACCATCAAACCAAGGACAAAATCCATTGTCTACAACCCATCCTCAAACACTGGGTAGGAAACCTAGAGATTACTCTTCTAAACTATCTTCCATCAACAACATCAACTAAACACTGTCACACCCAAAAAAAACAATAACAAAAGACCAAGAAGAATGAAATACAAATAAAGCAAAACAAAATATTAGTAAAACAGAGGAGAATGTTAAAACTGAAGAAACATTCCTACACATTAAGTTTAATATGTCAAAAATATTTTTTCAGATGTATCCCAAAGTACTACAAGCTCCAACTAAGTGCTGTGTACAGTGTATACATATATAATGGATAGACATTTTTGAAAGGAACGGCAACCAAGCCGAGGAGAATTACAGTATGATTACTTGTCAACAAAGGCTTGAACCATAGCTCTGCGCTCGTCTTTGGAGACCCTTTTGCGAGTCTTTTTTGTTTCGGGTGAAGTAGATGCCGGAGGAGTCGGAGAAGGAGCCGCGGAGGCAAATGATATTCCCCTCCACCGCGCATTCGAGGCAGACGCACCACGAACAAACTTGGATGCATCCAATAAGACTGCCATAAAATATGCAATTACTGTGGATCACACAGGAATTCAAACTAAAAAAAAAAAAAAGGCAATTGGGGAACAATTCATGTCGAAATCAAAGAGGAGACAACTGGTAGAACATACCTAGTTTTGAGACTGAGACTGAGACAGATAATCGACCAACGAACTTCATATTCAAATCCCTGAACCCTTTCTGTTGGTCGTTGGATTTATACAACACTCCTCCTCCTCCGTCTCCTCTCACTTCATTGTCAACTCAGTGAAGGGGTTTAACAGAAATCAGGACAAGGGTTTTTGGTCGATATTTGGGCTGTTCTATGGGGTCATTTGCTAATTATTATTATATTCTTATGATGGTTATACCACTCATTTATGTCCGTTTTTTTTGTTGTGTTTTTTTTATATACATTATGTTATATAAAAGTTGTATTAGTAATTGTCCCGTGCGATGCATGAACTATTATTAATTTAACAAATTTATCAATTAAAATTTTGACATCCTTTGAATTAGCAAAGAAAGTAATGGTCAGTGGAAATAGAAAAACGTACTTGAGTTCTTGAGCTCAGAATTAGTCTATATCTATATCTATATATATATAAAAATAAAATCCTCCTAATCAAGTTTTCCCCCCAAAACTTAGGGGCATTTATGTAATCTAATAATAATAATAATAATAATAATAATAATAATAATAATAATAATAATAATAATTTATATAATGTTATTACCTTAATTAAATATTTTATTAGTTAAATAATTGATAAATTTTATTTGGTAAGTAAATGTTTAATGGAAATTAATTTTTATTACGTGATTATGGTATTGTTATGTATGGTATTTTATTGATGATAAAATTATCACCAACCGGTCATTCTCTCCTCTGTCCGATCAGTCTCACCATGGTTTTGTCGAAGACAGCTTCCGGGTCTCCATTTGCTCAACCTTCGCTTCCAGATACGTTTGAGCTCCCCTTCCTCGGTAAATATATACCCCTTACTCTATTTATTCCGTTCCATTTTATGTTCTTCGATTAGGTTACTTCAAAAAAAAGTGAGAAAATGAACGCTGGCGAATGATCGCATGTTTAAAATGCCAGAGAACTCGATCCCCAAGGAAACCGCGTTCCAGATCATAAATGATGAGCTGATGATTCTGGACAGGAATCCGAGGTTGAACTTGGCGTCGTTTGTGACCACTTGGATGGAGCCTGAGTGCGAAAAGCTTATCATGGCCGCCATTAACAAGAACTACGGACATGGATGAGTATCCTGTCACCACTGAGCTTCAGGCAAGTCTTGGCCAAAGTTTTTTGTGAAATTACGTCGAAGCCGGAAGAAAAACGCAGCTTTTGTATTGTTAATGATAAACATTTTAATGTCGTATCTTTAGAAATCTTAGTTTTCTCGGGATTTTCTTTACAAATTTTTGAGTTGGGTTCGTTGAAAATTTCTGTGCAGTGGGTGTTTCTTGGAATTGGTTAATGCCCAGAAACATATCACATTTGATTTTTAGGTTGTAGTGTGCGTGTCAAATGAAATTATATGGGCATGGCAATGCTGCGCTCCGTCGTGATTTCTGTAGTTTTTCTTACAGTTTTGGCAGACATTGATTCAGATTGGAAGCTTCCGAGCACCCATTTGGGCAATGGTGGTCTTTTCTATCTTCAAAAGACCGACAAACATAACGTATGTGATTTTTATTTTTTTTTTAAATTTTTGAAAGCATAAGGTATGTGATGATATCTGATATTTTAGGACTAGCTCTACATTACTACAAATGAAAACATGTCTGGTAGTAGAAGCTTAGCTAAATCTCTTTGTTGTGAACTCCAGATCGTGTTTACAATTTTGTTAAAAAACACAATCTTTTTCTTTACATCTTTTTTTTTTTTTTTTTTTTTTGATGAGAAACTCATAATTCTATATATGAGTTCAATGTATTAAAAAAAATATTGACAGAGAATAGAAATTGATCTCAAATTGACTTTTTTTTTTTTCAAGTAAGGATACTTTTATTAATAATAAATGAAAGACTGAAGCCAATACAATGTCGAAGGGATTAGGCCACACACGACCAAAATCCCACTAAGTAAAACTAAGCTAGAAAATAAAATGAGATAACATAAAGTAGGCCCCCAGGGCTATAACATACATGCCCCAAGTCCCATGCTAGATGACTAACACTAGACCAAAGACTATAACTAAGTAAAAAACGCAGCTGCTTGAAAATAAGAATGCAAGTACAATCCAGCGGCCTTCACGGCCAATAGTCGAGGAGACATAGCATCGTGCTGCAACCATGACCGCAACATCTCCTGGAGTGCTATTGGCTGCCCTGTAAAAAGCAACAACTCACAACAACTCACATCTCAAATTGACTTAAATGAAAAATAAAATGGTCAGATTGCCCAAACAATAGTATAGGTAACTTAACTAATTAATGTATCAAAAAGAATCATTGACCGAGGATAAAAATTACATGAAAAGTAGGTAAATTTGAATAGAAAATGATACTTAATACTTGATTAAAAATGGCACAGAATATATTACTGGAAATATATAAAAAAAAAATATGTTATTAATAAATAATTAATTAATATGTATTAAAAAATCATTGACTGTGAATAAAAATGACATGCAAATTAGGCCAATTGAAAAATGAAATGATAATTAATACTTGATTAAAAATGACAAGGAATATATAAAATTTGTATTTCCAATCAATTAATTGAGTAACTCAAATGGCAATGAAAAATGCTTCCAAACTGACTCAGTATATAGAAAGAATATTAATCTGGGGTATATATTTTATAAAATATAAAGTTACTAGAAATATATATAAAAAAAAATTGTATATATACGTTGCTGAAATATGGTTATGTAAAGATATATATTTAAAAATGGAAAATGGAATAGAATCGTTTAGTATCCACAATTTATAAGGAAAATTTTGTAATTAAAGATGGAAAGAATATTAATCGAGATGGAAATTAATAATTTTTACATCAAATGTTATTTTGTACTAAGAATATAAGGATTGTGTAATTATAAGGTTTAGCCGAGTATGTCAAAAAAAAAAAAAAAAAAAAGGTTTAGCCGGGATGAAAAGAATATTAATCTCAGTTATATATTTTATAAAATAAAATGTAAAGTTACTAGAAATATTTTAAAAAAAATCTATATATATATATATATATATATATATATATATATATATATATATATATATATATATATATATATTACTAGAAATATAGTTATGTAAAGATATATATTTACAAATGAAAAATTGAATAGAACCGTTTAGTATCCACAATTTATAAGGAAAATTGTGTAATTAAAGATGGACATGTTCTTGCAATACGTATGAATGATTCAAAAGAAATTAGTTATGACTGATTCTGTAGTACATCTTTATCGAAAATTATGGAACCTAGCTCATTACAATGCGTATATATAAAGATGTGTAATTATGTATAGAATGTGTAAGGAAGATCATTTTGCTTAAAGATAGAAAATAAATTTGACCAATTGGAAAAGGTAATCTATATCTATATATCTATATATATATATAAAAGTAAAATCCTCCTATGTAATTTTCCCGCTCAAACTTTTATAGTCAAATTAATGAAATATTTTATTGGTCAAATTAATAAAACTTATTTGGTAAGTAAATGTAAAATGAAAATGTTATAAAAGCTATTAATTGGTAATATTATGCAATACCAATATACCATTGTGAAATCCAGTCAATATAAATTGAAAAATGGAAACTGATATTATTAATTGATTGAAAATATAAAAGGATTCTAATGAAAAAAGGAAACAGAAATTAGGCAAATTGATTGAAAATATAAAAAGAAATTAATTTTCACATTCTCTATCTCTACCTATAAATATAATGGATTAGTGACTAGAAAAATTATAACTCTTCATTTTTGTACTGGGGTGAGTTATGTATTGCGTCTTTCATTTTCCAATGGCATAATTCTTAATTTATGTTCTTATTTCTTTTCTGCATCTTTTGCAAATATTGCAGGATACAAATATAGAGACAATTGAAATGGTTCTGAGCAACTATTTACATGCATTAAGGAGAGTTGATGACTTCCAACACCACGTGTGCCCACGTTGTAGAAGGTACGCACAATAACTGGATAAACTACAATGATGTTAAGCATTGGCAATTACAACGAATTTATAAATTTACATGTAATATGCATTATTATTATATAATAATAGTTGACACTACATTTATTTTTTAAATTATTTCTCTTTTATTTTTTATATATTTATTTTAAAAATAATATAATTGTCTAATTGTTGTAGCAGGAAGTCACAACGAAATTGTTGGTAGTCAACTTCATCCTACACTCATTTGGAATAGAATCAATGTTGGAGTGCTCCGTGTTGTTCATCTTCCAGAGGCAAGAGGTTCTGAAACAATAAACTCTATAGAGTGTGTAGTCCATGATAAAGAGGTGTTTTTTTTTTTTTTTTTTTTTTTTTGGTACTATGATCGTAATTTTAATAGTTTATATTTCAAAACTTTTAGTTTATGCATATGGTTGTTTTACAACATTTTCTTTTTACACTACAAATTCATGGTACTTTTCTACATATGCATATTCTTCGAAAGAATGTGATTCAAATAATGATGGATATGTTAATAGCTCTAAAGATTGTATAGTTATTCCAACATTCAACTTCACTTATAATTTTATATTTTGTTATTGTTATGTAATAGGCATTTCTCACTTCTCAATAAGATCAAATATGTTTTTGGTTTTAAGAATTTTGGGTAATATTTACCTTAATTTACTACTACTCTGCACTATTCTTTGAAATTTTCGAAATAAAATCACACAGATTTTTATAAATCATTTACGAAATAGAATCAAATTTATGGATGTGGTTACATCCATGCTAATTTTTTGTTAAGAGTTTTCCAATTTGTATAATTTAACAATTTAATCATTTTTAATTTATATATAAATTAATAAAGCTTATTCTATAACCAAGTATTTTGTAATATTTACCGTGTGTATATATATGTGTGTGTGTGCGTGTGTGTGTGTGACCTCAAGATCAAAATAAATTATAAAACAATTTATGTATAAAATTTTTCGCTCCTTATAATAAAATAATTCAATAAAGGTTTATATATAAGAAAATAACCCATAATATTTACCTTTTAAGTATAATTTATCAATTTAATTACTTTTTATTTGATAAAGATTATTTTCTAACCAAACAATTGGTAATATTTACGATTTATTGAACCAACCTTCATATTTCCGGTCAAATGAGTACACAAGACGAAATATGTTCATTGCGCGAAATCTTAATATTAGTTGAGTTGCCAAATTGTATATTGCATAAGAATTATTCATACCATAATATGAATTGTAAACAATTTAATAAATCAAAATATTAACAAGTATGTATGGTAATATTATTTCATATGAACGTAATACAATAATATTAATATATATATATATATATATATATATATATATATATATATATATATATATATATATATATATATATATATATAAAGTAAAATCATCCTACATCATTTTCACGTCCAAACTCGTGTACTAAATTAATTAAATATTTTATATTTTTAGTCAAATAATTAATAAATCTTATTTGGTAAGCATATGTTTAATGTAAATTAATTAAAATGTATTAATTGGTAATATTGCATAATTATGGTATTGTAAATGTATTAATTGCTAATCAATTTATAGTAACGTGAATATTATGTATGGGAATAACAGATGAAACACGGATTTGGAAAACGAAAGTGAAATTATGCAAATTGAAAAATGAAACGTATATTATTAATGGACTGAAAATTATAAAAATCCCTAATTGACTGAATAGAAAAGGAAATGGAAAAAGAAACTTATATTATTAATTTATAATTCTCACATTCTCTACCTATAAATTGGTGACAAAAAAATGGAGAGATTTTTTTTTTTTTTAACCAGAAATTTCAGTTGCTATGTTTTTTCGTATACAAATTTATAATTATAAATTTATATTAATAATAATTATTTAAGACAAGTATAATTTATTTTATATTGTGGACACATTATTTTTAATAATTTTGGTTTAATAATATTATACCTTAATTATAAAAATTATACCTGATAATCTTAGTATTAAATGTCATACAATAATTACCATAAACAATGTTTAACAATTGACAAATTCTATTAGGAAATAAAAATTACTATTATAAAATCTTTTGTAATATGGACACGTTATTTTTAATTATTTCGATTTAATAATATTATATCTTATTTATAAAAATTTGAAGTAATACATTTAGCACTATTGAATATTGATTGACTAAAAATTATCTTAATTATTAAGGTAATTAATAGGTATTTAGCTTTAAAAAAAATTCAAATATATTAATTATACATAGTAGTATGAAATCAATTAGTAGGACAGTTATATTATGTAATCTAATTAATAATTTACTTTTTAAAATTATATCCTCTTTTCAATAATTATATATATATATATATATATATATATATATATATATATATATATATATATATATATATATATATATATATACTTAATGTATAATATTATTGGCATAAAATAAATTATACTCACATTAATATATAATTAATTTTTAATATTAATGGTAATTATTCTAATAATTTTCTTTCCTTCTTTCGTGTAATTATTATGATAATTTTATGGTAATGTGTTTAAATATTAGAAGAGAACAAATATTAGAATTAATATAATTAATGAAATTATTATGGTAATTGCCACAATATTTATTAATTATAATTAATATAATTATTGAAACTAAAAAATATAATATTTCTTCCCTAAAAATATTTGTGACAATTTCATTAAATTATAATTAATAAAATATGAAATATAATTAAAGAAATGAAAGTATAAAATTAACAAAACATGAATATTTATAATTTTACATACAATTATACACTATAATAACCAGGACTATGTGGTCTAATGGTACCCGGATTGGACTTCCATTTGGAAGGTTATGAGTTCGAGCCTCGGTGGAGGTGTTATTGGTTCTTTGTGTTTCAGTAGGTTGAGAAAGTATATGAACAGATACTACAATGTAATAGAGCCAGTAGCATTCAAAAAAAAAATACACTATAATAATCATACAATATTTAAATTTCTATATGTAATTTTTTAATTATAAATCTATCAATATAAATTATAATTATTGAAATTATATTATAGAATTTTTCTATATACATATTAATAAATATTATGTGTATATACAATGTATTATACAATCATATAAGGAAATGCGTCCGATTAGAGTTTAAATTTATTCATACAAAATTTAGAATTTACATTTTTTTATTGATTTCGAAGTACAATTCTCTTAGTTAGTATTCATATTTTTAGAATTATAATATATATGAAATACAATTAGGAATAAATAAACTTAATTATGTGAATTTTTCAATAAATTTATCTAAATATGTACATGATTAGAGATTATATTAAACATACAAAATTTAAATTTAAATTTTGTATGTTATGAAAATAGATACTTGACCAAATATATAAAAATCCAACCATATTATTATATTGTACATTATAATATATTTTCATTGTTTTCTATTTTTAATTTTAAATTCATAAAAAAAAAAAATTCGTGCAACGCACGGGTAAAACACAATCGTTATACCCTGCACCACGACGCGCGCAGCACTGTGCGTCCCGCGCCTCCCAAAACGACGTTGTTTTGGGAGGCGCGGAAGGGGGTTGACGTTATTATGTGTATTTGTTTATATCATTATGTGTATTTTTTTATACAGTTATGTATTGCATCAGGACGCACGATGCAATGCGTGCCCTGGTGCATGATATAAATTGCCGGTAAAACACTATATTTTTAAAAATACAATTTGATAAACATCATAAATTAATTAGTACAATATCATTTCTGTTTATAATAATTAAAGAAAAAATAAATAATTCAAATATGTGAACCAATGATTTCAAAATAAAATTAATATATAGTTACAAATAAATATAGGATGTACTTTAATTAGTTTTAATTTTCTTAATGAAATGACTTTTCTTTATCAATTTTTTATGGTAGACTAAGGGATTGTGTGGGCCGCTGGAAAATATTTTAAAAATAAAAATACTTACTAATAAAAAATAATTTTAAAATATGTTTTAACCCCTCATAACATGTGTAAATCTTATATTTTTTTAAAAAATACAATTTGATAAATATCATAAATTAATTAGTATAGTATCATTTTTGTTTATAATAATTAACGAAAAAATAAATAATTCAAATATGTGAACCAATGATTTCAAAATGAAATTAATATACAGTTACAAATAAATATAGCATGATTAGATTTAATTTAATTATTTTTAATTTTCTTAATGAAATGACTTTTCTTTATCCATAGTGTTTGGATTGCTGGAAAATCTATAATCTATAATATAATTAAAAACAAAATTCTATTTACTTGATTTCCCGCTCAAATAATAGTAAATAGTAAAGGTAAAAAAAAAAAGTAAATAGTAAAGGTAAATTAAAAAATGAACAGAAATATTTCACAATAATTCTCTACATCATCATCAATTAAAAATGGAACAAAAATTAGGTAAATTGGAAAATAAATGAATATTAATAATTGACTGAAAATTAAAAATGAAAAAAAAAGAAACAGAAATTAGGTTAATTGGAAAAGAAATGAATATTAATAATTAACTGAAAATAAAAAATGATCCATAATCGACTAAAATTGAAAAGAAAATTGTCAGATTATTGCATTTTAAATTTTCACAATAATATTACATAGTAGAATAAATCAAATCACAATTATATCATAAATCTTTCACAATTTTAAGCAATGGAACAGAAATTAAAAATGGAACGAAAATATTTCAATAATAATATTTTACATCATCAAGTAAAAGTAAATAAAAAATGAAAAGGAAATATTTCAATAATAATATTCTACACCATCAATAGTAAAGACATATTTTAAACAACAGTAAAGCTAAACTAAAAATGGAACGGAAATATTTCAATAAAAATATTCTACATCATCAATTAAAAATGGTTAGGATAGGTAAAAATATCACTGCATCTGATATTCTAATTGACCAATTGACTGAGAATAAAAAGAATAATTGCCTAAAAATGAATCTGATATTACTAATTGACTGAAATTATAAAAGGAAATGAATATTAATAATTGACTACAAATAAAAAATGATCCATAATTGAAATGAAAAAATAAATTGACAGATCATTGCATTTTAATTAAAAAATGAAACAGAAATTAAAAATTGGACGGAAATATTTCAATAATAATATTCTACATCATCAATAGTAAATGCATATTTTAAACAATAGTAAAAGTAAATTAAAAATACAAAGAAAATATTTCAATAAAAATATTCTACATCATCAATTAAAACTGGAACAGAAATTAGGTAAAAATATCAATACATCTAATATTCTAATTGACTAATTGACTAAAAATAAAAAAGAATAATTGGCTGAAAATGAATTTGATATTACTAATTGACTGAAAATATAAAAGGATTACTAATTGACTGAAATTCTACCATTATATATTTTTACCCGAGTCACTCATCCTTTGGGACTAAAGGTGTTAGCTCTAGACGAAGATAGACAAGATTGTGTTGTTACTATCAATGTTGTCTACAAAGAGGTTTCAATAGTATGTAAATACAATCTGTGATATTATGTTTTTTTAAATGTCAAAATTGCTATATATC